TATTTTAACATCTGATACCCATAGTTATTATTACATTTGGAAACTTTCCAGCATTCGACGTGTTGAGTAGTGTACGTAGGTATACGGGCACTGTAGGGAAGCTAGCTCAGAAAAGAAGCTTGAGTGTCTCTTTGTTCCAACTTAAAAGAGGAAGTGAGCCTATAATTATATAGTTGTTTTATATCAAGTATTTGTAGTTGTTTATATAGTTGTTTTATATCAAGTAAATAGTTGTTGTGTGTGAGAGATAGGAAACAATTAAAATAATTCTCAACATTTTTCCCTGTAACAAATATAGTTTCTTTAGGTTTTTAAATGTGGTAGTGCCCCAAACAAGGTGGCAATAACTTAGACTGGAATAAAACAATGAGATGTAAATTAATAATTTAACGCTGGTTGGGAGTACAAACTGATGACGATGTGTTAATCCTATAACACGTGAAAGTCTTGAAATAACGCTACGTACATGTGTGTCCCATAACACATTTTCTGAAAAGAGAACTCCTAAAGTCTTAAAGGAACTAAGCATTTCTATTGGGCATTATTTAAAAAAATGTGTTTGTTTAGTTCTATTATTTTATTCTTTGGCTGAAAAAGTACTGCTTTTGTTTTGTTAGTATTGATCTTCAAGCAGTTACACTGCGCTCAAGCCTCAAGTCGAGTTAAAGCCATGTTAGCCCTGTCTATCAACTCATTTCTGTTTGTACCTGGAAAAAAAAACAAAAAAAACATTAGTGTCATCTGCCTAGATGATGAATTTTGTCACGGAGTTGATATTGATAATGTCATTTATGTAAATGTTGAAAAGGAAAGGTTCAAGTATGCTGCCTTGTGGGACTCCGGTGGTAAAATGTTTGATTTCAGAACTATAACCAGCTATATTTACATACTGTTTACAATGTTTCAAGTATGATTCTACTAGTTTTAAAGGCGTTCCTCGAATATCGTGGTATTCTAATTTTTTAAGAAGAATGTTGTGGTCTAAATAGTCGAACGCCTTCGTAAAGTCTATAAATAAACCTAGCATTAAGTGCCCTCTCGCAAAACGCATTCTTTTTGTTCAAGTAGTGCTTTCTCAGTCGACATATTTTTTCGGAACCCAAATTGAGAACTCAATAAATCATATTTATCAGAAAAACTTACTAGGTGATGATGCAATACTTTTTTTATGCATTTTGAAAATACCGGTAAAATTGAAATTGGTCAATAATTGCTTATTTTATTTTTATCTCCCTTTTTAAAGAGCACAGTTGCTTTAGCTGTTTGCATATTTTGTGGGGAATATACCGCTAGTTATACTCAGATTAAAACTGTAAGCTAAGCAATGGGCTATAATATCTGAAACATATTCAACCGATTTAATCTGGACATTATTTGGGTCACAGTTGGTGCTGTTTTCTAACTGTGAAGTAATGGAAATAACTTCAGCTTCATAAACTGGATGAAAAAAAAAAAATGGAACTACTGTTTTGAGATTTTAGGTATTTGCAAGCGTCTTCTGTTGAACTCATATTCACCAGGTCCACAAAAGAGTCATTGAAGGCATTTGCCAATGAACATTGGGCTAGCCGTGCACCATTATGAAATATATGGTCAATTTGGCAGTGTGTCTCAGAACGGGCAAGCACCGAGTTTAATATGTTCCATATATGGCCCGTGCACCCAAAAGTTGCTTTAAAAGAATCAGAGTGATACCGTGATCTTGCATTTCATATTTCCTTAGTTAATTGATTACGGTATGACTTGAATATTTTAAGGTTGACTGGGTCTCTTGTTTTGATAAATTTGTCATATAGGACATTTTTTATATGGATCCAAGGCTTACGAATGTTTCGTGATATTTTAAGTTTCTTGTAGGGAAATTCCTGTTGGTAAAGTTTTTTGAAAATGTTGATAAAAGTATTATACGCCTCATCGACAGTTTCCTTCTCATACACTGCACTCCAATCCATATTTGACAGTGTCCGCCTAAAACTCTCCAGACTGTCGGGTGTTATATATTGTAACTTAGCAGTTTGTTTTATTCTCGGCCTATCTAAGCTGTCTGTGTCTACGGGTATGAATATTGGAAAGTGATCACCAAGATCGCATCTGACCACACCAGCTTTCACACAATAGAAACAAAATTCGTTATAAATAAGCTAAGTAGTGTTTCTGAGTTTAAAGTAATCCTTGTAGGGCTCGTTATTACATTCATACAGCCATTTAATTCAATAGTATTTTTTAGTTCTCTGATAGGAATGATCAAATAACATATTTATGTTGAAATCGCCTCCACATATTAGATTATACCAATTCGGGTTTGTAAACATAAAAAATTCTTCCAGAAACGAAAAAAACTGGAAAATTTACCGTCTGGTGGGTGGTAGAACACTGAGAAGACAGTTTGATTTGCTCGTAAAGAAAGCACTTCATAATCTTTAGCTGTACACCAGTATTCCGGGATTAGCTCTCAATCGATGCAGTCTTTAGTCAGCATCGATACGCCTCCACCACGAGACCTAGTACAATTCAAAAGATGAGTGGTGTACATAGGCAATTTGAAAACGCTTATGTCATCAGAGTACCACGTCTCTGATAGCATTACTAAATCAAAGAAATTATCAAACTGAACAAAAAAATCTTCAAGATCTGCTATCTTGTTTTTGCAGATTGCGTATTGAGGTGGAAACATTTCAAAGACGGTTTGCATTCAAGATACTGCTTTATTTCTGACGGGAGAAAACTTTCCATGACTGTGCTGTATTTCATCTGGCTAACTGTGCTTTCATACGTTACACAATCAAAGCGAGGTTAGCTTCACTAATTATTTGAGCAACACCAGAGTTGTCGACCTTCCTCATGAGAATTTTTCCTTGCGACACCCATAAGTACTTCCAGTTGTTCGCCTTCTTTTTTCCAGTGGCTTTTCAATGCTGCAGTTTGTTCTCCAGGCATAGATGTTCATTCACATGCATCGGTCTTGAATGCTCAAGACCCAAATTGGACGTTGGCAGCCTGCTTCGTTTCGCTGACAAAAGGGCCTTATCACGGACGTTGTGGGAGATGAACCATACAATTACGTTCGGTTTTGCTTTGTCTTTTGTGGGCACACGGTGGATAACATCGATGTCTGTGTTTGCAATTTCTACACCTATTTTACTTCCGATGTCAGTCATCATCTCGGCAAGGTTTTCGTGAGAGGTATACGGAAGCCTTTTAATTTCCTGGTGATTCCTGTGACTGTATTGTTTCATCTCCACAACGCTGCGTCTCACGTTTTCAGGTCCGCACCTGCAACTCCATCTACGTGAATATCATTCATATAATTGCTGGGGTAGGTCAACGTCGTCACCATCACAGTGATGGAAGCATCATTCAACTTTTTGTAGCACGTTCCGTAGCTAGCAAAATATTGGTTTGGAGCAGATGCCATCATTTGTTAGCACATCATTTGAGAATAAAAAAGTGGTTGTATCTCAGAGTTAATTTATGATAGTGATCACTTCCTCTTTTATACTTGAGCATATTACCGTTTGTGAAAAGAACAGGTACAACATAAAAGAAACACTGTGTTGTTAAATTAGGCTCTAGTCATTGTAGGTTTTGTTTACAATGGGTTTACGAGGGTTACGAGGGTAACCCTCGTGATCTTCGTGAGGGTAACCCTCGTGAGAGTAACCCTCCTAACCCTCACAAGGGTTACGCGCGGTTACGCCGACGGCGACGCCGCTCAAGCCGGAAACGGGAGCCTAACAACTGTGCTCTCAAATGGTTGAAAAGTTAATCATAGAGCTACACTTCTCTGGGATAAATCCTCCCATCCCCTCTCAATTTTACACTAGGTAGTTTGTTTAGCTTGTAAATATAATTTCTGTAAAATACCAGCAAGAACCATCATATTCACTAACACGTCTACCAATAAAAATGCATCCCATAAGTTTAATGAACCTACCAAACTCAGGACTTTAATATCACAAACTGTAAAAACAATGACGAAAATAATCCCTGGAGAAGGGGAACAAGAGGGACAGAGGACAAACACAAATCTCCAAACACAGCTAGGTGACCGGTGCGCGACCGAAAAAATCCACCTGGTCCGGGTATCGAACCCGGGACCTCTCCATTTCCAGTGGAGCGGTTTACCAACTGAGCTAACCAGGAGTTAGATGGGAGTAGTGCAAATGGGTTTTATCAGCTGCCACCAGTCTAACACCAACAAGGGTGAAAGGTTTGCATTTTAAGGTTATGATTATAATGCATTTAATTGCAAAGGTGCAAGCGAGCTGGACAGGAATGACGAAAATGATCCCTGGAGAAGGGGAAAAAAGGAGACAATGGGATACGATAGTGGATATGCCACCGTCGCACCCACGTTAACAACTTTAGAATACCCATATATAGCCATTTCTGGTAGCGGTGCACAGGGATTGTTGTGACGTCAGAATCCCAAGCTCCGATAGGTTCTGAATGAAGGATAGTGGGTGGACCTCAAGGCAGCCTGCTTTGAGGTCTCCCAATATCCTTCAATCGGAGCCAATTCGAGCTTGGCGTTCTGACGTTGCCACAACCCCTGCCAAAGAAGCAGACAAACTTCCGCTCCGCATAGCATTACTCATAAAGCAAACATGCTTCGAAGATGCTTGAGGCACATCTGCAGATAATGGGCGCGTTCAGTAGTGCCTCCCTTGCCTCCGAACGGAGTGACTCGAGTCAGAGCTCTTTGGATTTTTTCGCCGGAAATCATCATTAGTCAGGAAATGACGTCATCCTTAGCTCCTTTGACTCTATGTGCACCGTTTCTGGACTCGGAGCTTGACTCCGAAGCCCTGGAGCTACGTGCACCGGAAGTGACTTCTGGCCGTCCAGTGGAAGGAGTCAGTGACTCCTTGACTCCGGGGCCGCTACTGAACGCGCCCATTCCTATTATTGTGTCTGCAGTCCCGTCTTTTGTATGCTGTGTGAGCAGTGAGAATGTGGCTTAATATATGATGAAAGCAATCGTGTCGTGCGCATCCTGGTTCTTGCACATGAGGCACATTCTTTATTGAGCCCGTAGCTGCGCGTTCTCATCGAGACGTCGCTCAGCAGTTTGACTGGTCCACACGCAGCAGGGGCAGCTTGACCTCGTTCCTCTCCAGGACTCGAATCGCAATGTCCAGGTCGATGGGGTCCGGCACGGGCGTGCGAGAAAGGATAGCGTAGCAGCTGGAGTCACCTGCAAGGACATTGTATGCGATCATATCGTGAGTTGGAGCAATACCACTCGCACTCCGTCTCATTGTAACTTGGCTAAGGCCAAAGGCTACGGTCTCGGTGAGTCGATCAGTGCATCGGAGGGAGGCACGTAACTATGCAACGTCGCTCCGCTGCGGCACGGTGTCGGCACAGTGCTCGTCCGGTAGCTGATTTGACAGCTATCGGATAAGGGGAAAGGCCAGAGCAGAAAAGGGGGTGCAGGCAAGGCAAGAAAAATGCCTTTTGTCCCGCATTGTTTGCATTCAATTTTTTAAATATCTGGGGGAAAGGGGGGGACTTCTCCCCCCCCCCCCCCCCCCCCCCCCCCCCTGTTTTGATGTCACTGGCTGGCTCTGGGTATGAGGGGAATTCCTTCTTTCTTCTCCCAGCTTAGGTTACGTTCTTGCTCCTGTACCCTGCACCCTTGGCAGGACCGTACCAGAAAATCTTGTCACAAGGGGGCAAGGGGGGGAGGAGGAAGTTTTCGGTCGTCAGTGCCATAAAAGAGAAACAAATGCGTTGCAAGACCCCGAGGCAACAGTGCTACATCCTGTTCCCTCCACTTAGCTGTGTTTGCCTTGATTTAGCTCTTGGACCGTTGCTTTGTGTTCACTGTGGATTATCTCTTCCCCACACACACTTTTGCACAAAAGAGGTCTTTTTCCCCTCTTCCTTTTTTTTTTTTCAGTTATTTCTAAAATGTGGATAAGGGAGCCAGCTAGGATATAGATGTAGGCCTGCTAGGCCTGTAACGTTCTTCAACTGATCGAGAGCCTAATCGTTCCACCAAAAGAATGAAGCAGTCGTTTTTAACGCTTCATCTTTAGAGGGTATGTCTTGGTTCTGCGGTGCAAGTTTCCACAGGGAGAGTGTGGCTGTGCAGTGTAAAAAGGAGGAACCGCAGAATGTTTTACACCACGCACGAGCAATGGATTGGCTTAAGGTCTAACCAATAGTACTCAAATATTGATTTGAATTCTCGAACCCAGGCCGATTATCGTGTACTTTCTGTTGTCTTTGAGGAGCTTAAAGGGCCCATGAAACAAATTTTGGGTTGGGATAAATCATTTTACATTGGGATTTTACTAATAGCCCATCGTTCAGAGGGCCAAAAAAAAAAAGGTAGAAAGTCAAAAGCCTGACTTTCAGTGCGAAAATTAGAATACGCAGTGGACTATTTCGTACCTCCTCCCCTTCGTAAGCTCTCTGCCTTTTCACTGTGATACATCCGCGGTCCCAAAAGCACGTCATCGGGTCCAAAAGCACGTCACACGAAACCGGACCTCACTTATTTCCTTCACCCCTAAGCTGACATTGTGGTGGAAGCTACGCGTTTGCCGGACCAGTCAACCGCCTCCCTTTCATCACCTGCCCTCATTCTCTGCGCGTGGGTATGCGCGAAGGAGCGTGATCACGTGGCAAGTGTGGCTGGCCCAACGAGCACATAGCTTCCACAGCACTGTCAGCTTCGGGGTGAACGGGTTGGGGAGAGCAACTTTTGTCTGGATTTTGAATGACGGGCTAATCTTCTAGGGGGACAATGGCTCTGTCCGGGTACACAAACCAGATTCCGCAGCAAGAGGTGCCTCCCCTCTTTTCGTCTTCTTGAACTGTTTGGTGGAATGCGCGATTTATGAGTTGAGGAGGAAAGCTGAACAGGAAGAAGTTGAAAAAGCGTTTCATGACCCCTTTAATGTCACTCATTGGAGAAAGCATACAGATACAGGCAGATCTGCAAAATTGCAGAAGCCAAGCTTTGTTGCACACACTGCAGGCCCTCCTTATACTCTGTTTCACCTTAACTGTCACACAGTTTGTGCATCTCTGTGTTTGTGCAGACGTGATGGCAAAATTATCTGCAGAAATGCCTCGAGTGTGTTCGAAGCACGTTTACTTACGCATAGGGGCTTCGAACGTGTCTGCAGACGGTTTTGTATGACTAGCGTCATGCAGGGAAGACACACGCCTCAGACGACGTCTACAGCCTATCTTGTACGATATATGAGCAATACGACCACGGCTTTACGTTGAATCACAGCAGACGCCGCGAGCCATCGAAGCCAATCCGAGTGGACGTGTTACGTAACCTACAAGCGGGACGCGTGCGGCGCATGGTCACGTGATTGGTCCACAGCGCCGGGGGCTGTGATGAATAGACCGTTCCGGAAAATACCAGGAGACCTTGCAACGAGGGAAATTGTAGGGCTGTTCGGATGTACGCTCTTGCCGGCTCAAACGCTCCGTACATCCTGGTAGCGGCACGATACATTCCTTCCCATCGTTAACACACGCGAAAATTAAGCAGTTGGAAATGGAGGTTATCTCATACCTTGTTTTGCTTTCCTTCTGCTTTCTCTGCATTCTAAAGCCATAAACTATTAAACCAATGTCAACTTCATCTTTGCTTCTTGGATCATTTCGCGTGCCGTACATCTGAACTTCAGAATGCACAAAGCAGTTGCTGGGGGCACCAGATATTTCCAGAAAAGTCTATTGTATAACGCCCAACAGGTCACGCCCATGCCAAAGATCGCAACCCGTACGACATACCTTTGCCGCTGAAGTAACCATGGGCGGTGCTCCATTTCTTGTAATCGGTGCCCAGTATGGTCAATGCAACTTTTTTTTGGTCTGTAAAACGACACGGGAAGAGTGGAGTAACCCCACCTAATTAATACAATGAACATAGATAACACGTCTCCCGTACGTTAAGGCTCGTTCACATGCTTGCAACTGCTTATGATTGAGGGCCTTTGAACCATTTCAACCCCTTAGAATCTCTTATCGCGCCAAGAGATTCTCTTAGAATCTCTTATCGCGCCAAGATGGCGCCAAGAGATGGCGCCATCTCTTGGGCAGCTGTGAAACACGTGTCATTTTCTTATATTTCCTTTTCTCGCATCATTCTTTCTTGGCTTTAAAATCTTTTGACGTTATAAATGGGTCCCTGTTGTTTCGTCAAAACTCATTTCATGGACAACTTTTCATGAACACATGTGTGTCAACACAAACATTTCATGGACACTCGTCGCACCGATTGCTCGCTGTAGGGACATTTCGTCGCCGGTGTACCACTGGGTGGTGCGTGTTAACCCATCCAGCCGTCCCGTTTACACCACTTCGCAGCGACAGTTTGCGGCGGCTCATTACAAAAATGTTAACCTACCTGACCCATCCGTACACGCCGTTACAGACTGATCCAGCTTATTACAAAAAAAAAAAAGCTAATCTGAGCTATCGATAAAACAATTTGTTGATGTAACAACCTGTTAATGAAACATTGTGAGTTGATGAAGCAATCTGTCAATGAAACATTGCGTGTTGATGAAACAATCTGTCTATGAAACATTGTTCCATGAATTGATTGCTACCGGTTATGAATGACCATTCCTCATAGATGGTATGTACATTGGACCTTGCAAATGCCACAAAACGTTTGCTCTTGTGCAGGGATCTCCAAATCCCGCCCCCGGGCCAATTCTGTCCCGCAGAGGCTTTCTGACCGGCCTGCGGCTTGCCGTGGTTTTTCCAATGAAGCCCAGCCCGCGGCCTGCTCCTAGCAGGCCCGTTGCTACCACGGCAAAAATGAGCACATGTAAGGAAACGGCGCTGCGACGCACACAAAGGGCACATACCAAGATACTAGAAACAACAAGAGAAAGCTTCCTACCGTAACGCAGGTCCTCTCGCCATATTCGTAAGTAGATATTGTCATCACCACAATCAGTGTTCTGGCTGGCGCTGCGCTTGCGCAGAAATCAGATCCGCGTAAGCTGAAGCGTCTGCACATGCACCGATCCGACAGCAGTGCTGTCCCTACCTAGTACAACAGCGCTGTTGTAGTAGGTAGGGATTAACCAGTGGCATGTTTTTAGGGGAGAGGGGTTTGCAGATTGGGGAGTGATTGAACTTTCGATGGGAGAATGGGGCCCTTTCCCGGTAGCCGATGCCACATCTTCGTGCATTTGTAAATTTTGTCGGCCGTCATTTTCGAAAATTTCCTAAAATCGCGTATAACTTTTGGATAAGATGCAGTTCTGATGGCATCTGGTATGAACTGCTAGTGCTCCATTTTTAGCAAAGACTAGGCGTTCGGTGATGCATAGCTTGTTTTCAAACGCCAAGGATGTTTTTAGGGACATCCTGTACAAAGCATCCAAGACCAAAGTGCTCGGTGCGAATTGAGCTGTTGATATGGTCCAAAAACAGATTCCAGATTCGCGGCAGTCAATCTGGCCGAGGAACCAATTGGAATGATTGCCCCTTCTGTGCCAGTCGTTGACAGATGAAGGCGCAAAAAGGTCGCATGGCTCCGCATACCTTTGTCAGTGAACAAGAACTGGGCCGGGTGATCGGTGTCGTCCTTCACCACCAGTCGGTTCTCCAGTCTTTCGTTGCTGCAGGATAGAATCGAGCGTGAAATCCTCGTGAGGGGGACCGTCGTCTCCTTATCACCTGCTAGGATTGGGGACCTAGATTAGCAGATGGGGACTTATGGTATACCCTAAGATCTCTCCGAGATGGAATTCCAGGGCTTGGGATGCCTCGATTTCCTCCTTTGCTGGTGGTTGTCGTTTCAGCACGCAATAAAAGGATTAAATTCCCCCCCCCTCCCCCCAAAAAAAAGAAATAATAATAATAATAATTTTATGCATAAGTTACAGATCTGATTACTATTAGAGATCATTCAAGCTTCTTCAAGCCCCCCGAGTCCTGCCATGCATAAAGTATATGCGGAGGAATGCATGAGCCTTGGAACAAGTACACCGAGGGCCCCTCGATAAAATTCACGCTGCGCTTTTCTTTCGAAGCGTTCACCACATTTGTTTTGTGGATGCATGAGACACGTGCCATGAGCGAGCATTGTGCAGCTGTTTGCTTTCGAGGCCCACTCATTTCAGCACTCCCTGTGCAGAAATGCTATATATGGCCATATCAAGAATTGGGCAAATAAGGTCACATATGTAGCCACATTATATATATGGCCTTATTTGCTCCATTCTCGATATGGCCTTATATGGCATTTCTGCATGTGTTGTCACCATTTGCCTCCAAGGGCCTCACGAGGCACTGGCCTCGTGACTGGCGCATTTGACGCTTTATGTGGGGCAAACGCAGACACATCAAGGCTCCTTAGGTACACTGCGACAATGCACCAGAAAGCCGTCTCAAAAGATACTTACTCCAGAGACTTGTAGTTAAGGATTACTTCGTAGACTTCGCCATCCTTGTGATTGACTGTACTGGTGATGCAAGCCACGGTATCGTTGTACAGCGGTTTGGTCCTCTGGATGAGGTACCACAAGCCGCCAATCTGCGACACAGATTTGCCCCCACGAAAGGTGTTTTCCATTACCCGCCAGCCAACAGCTATATTTCATTTCACCCTGTACGACAAACTACGCCCGGATACTTAGGTTGCCAGGTCCAATCCCAATTTCGGAATAAAAACTATGTTGTATATTGCTTACAGAAAACTGGTAATACAGGGCTACTCAAAAAGAAGCATGTTGTGAGTTTCGGTTCTAAACAAGCCGTAAAAGACAGAAACATTTTGCGCATCACTGGATGGAGGAAAGTTCGAAATTCTACGGTCCTTGAGGTTCTTTCCACTCGGCACGAGCACCACGCATTGTGCGACGAACATAAAAAATGGTACAGTATAGACCACTTACAACGTAACCGCTTATAGTGCAGGACCGGGTATAACGCGTTTTTTTTTAAACCACCGGTTCGCCTCCCATAGAACTCCATGCAATTGCGTACCGCTTAAAATGCAGGCGCGCGATGGGAAATACCGGTTATTGAGGAGTTTCAGCGAATATAGGGGGCGCTCCGATCGATCCAACATGGCGGACAAGAGGGGGATAGATTTGTGACGCCCGTAGACCGGTAGCGTATAAATATAACAAAGCGTGTCGTTCTCTGTTTGTTGCCGTGTGCGAGACCATCATCGTTTCAACCAAGACCTACCGTGATGCTACAGATGAAGTGTTCAAGCCAATCGAAGGCAAGAAATCTTGCCATAGTCAAGGTATGTGTGGAAGTGTTCGACGTGAGCTCTCACGCTGGTGCAGCTGTCATCAAGTTGAACCGAATGTACGCGGGTCCAAAGTAAGGTACATATCAACAATGTTCACGCGTTGAAACTATGACGCATACTTTATCTAAGACTAAACTTATCGGTCTGCGGCTACAAACATTTTCGTTGACGTTGCTTAGACGATGTAACCATTCAGGCCTCGCATTAAAGGGTGTTGCGAACTCTTTGGTTGTTCTAGTTAATTGTGCTAAAAAGCGGTTGGATGGAAAGTATGACAGCTACAGCATACAAGGGACGATTGAGGTCTTTATCCTGCGTTCTATGTATGGAAACATCGGTATCCTTGGTGTTATATTGCGATCAGCTGGTCGCCGATCGTCCTGTTTTTACGCATAATGTAAACAAGCCCCGGAAGCGCCAATCTCATTTCGATGTGCTTGTGCACCCCTACGAGCCTCGTTTTGGCTCTTGTGGAAAGCCTTATTGTAATAGCAATAGTCTCATCGGTCATTCGAGTTATATGTGCCACGGTGATATCTGCTGACAAACAAGTCTGTATTAAATGCGAGAAGGAAAACGAAGGTAAAGCTTTTTTAACTGTTTTCTTTTTACAGAACAGGGCTAAGCTTCCAAAACAAGAGCAAACTAAGCTTATATTTTGAGTGTGCTCAAGAATGAATGCCAAAGGTGCTTATGCTAAGTGGTAAATGTACGCAGTTGATTTTCTGTTTGCCTCTGCATTGTAAATTGGAAGATATGTACCAGCAGAAGACACGTGTCCTTTTGAAAATGTCTTTTATTAGGGCAAAAATAGGTTTTCATACACAACTGAAGAGTTTGCAACACCATTTAATGCGGGGCCTGAACGGTTACATCATCTAAGCAACATCAACGAAAATGTTTGTAGCCGCAGACCGATAAATTTAGGTTTAGATAAATATGCGTCATAGTTTCAGCCTCAAACACACAACATTGTTGATATGTAGCTTTCTTGATAACTGCACCAATGTGAGAGAGCCCACGTCGTCGAACACTTGCACACATATCTTGTCTATGGTATGGCAAGATTTCTTCCTTGAAGTGAAGATCATCTTGCTAGCATTGCTACGACTAGCTACGACCACCCACCGCAGCGATGCAGGCGTCGAAGGCGCTCAACGCAGTCAGTCGCCGTCACCCGACGTTTTTCGTTTGGCATTCACGGCTTTCCACCCAGGAGCTTCGTTTGTACTTGGCACCAAGTGTTATTTTCTGTGCTTGTGTGTGCTCAGTGGCTAGATATGGGCCTCAAGAGCAGTTCTTAAGGCTCAATAGCATACGCCGAAGAACTTCTGAAGAAAATGCCACCCAGGAAAAAAAGCATGAAGATGCAACGCACCAGCTTGGCGGACTATGCACTGGGCGCGGAAATCGGGCCCTGCAGATTATACAACAAATGCAAACTATCAAAACAAAATAAAAACATTTTTAGGCTCAAATTGGCTTCTGCGTACTATACGCCTGGACACTGGTGCCTTTTATTATGCATTGTATATTCACTGCTGTTTGTTGTAACTTGAGACTGCCTTCCTGTAATGATGCAGAGGGGTCCACTGAACCCTGAAATAGAGATATTTAAGCATATCTAGATGCAATGTCCCTTGAAGCCAGACGGTCAGGGAAAAGGTGTGCCATTACCTAATTTGCCAACAGCACACCAATGGTCACAATCAACACTCACCAAGTCAATGGGCAGTTTTTCACCACAATATTTATTGCCGTGTAATCACCAATTTGGTCCATTAAAAATCTTGAGGCTGTAGCCTATAGCACATCCATTCTAGATCTGCAAAGCTTATGCTGTAGACATGCATCATCACATGAGCATGTTTCTTATCAATCTTAAACGTAAAACGCTAGTTATGCAACGAAATTCCCATATCACCACATTTTTAGCAAATTGAATGGTCCCACCTGTCACACTGTTAGCTTTAGAAGTAAACCAATTCACAATACCACCAGTGGCATACATCGTGCCAAGCATTAGTGCCGCATGTGGCACAAAAATGTCCTAACTAGGGAAACAAACTTAATCGATCGTGTTGATTAAAGCATTTAAGTACGGGAGAAATTATCAATCAGAAGGTCACTCGAAAGGGAAGTTTTCTCGCTGAACGAATATGACTTTTTATTGGGCGTTCCGCAATGTAAGGCCGAAGACATTCACTCCGTGATCGGTACAGAAGCATTTGCTTGTGCGTGCTAAAAACAACAAAAACAAAGGTGGATTAGAAACGCGACAGATTCGCCTTTGCACGGAGTACTTACACTCAAAATCGTGTCAACATAAAGCGATTATGGCCCACCTTGCTAGCAGCAATCTTAAAATTTATCCGTGTAGTCGTCGCACCCGTGCACCAACCGAAAGCGTTGCTGCAAGCCCTTCCGCCGTCCTCCGCCGTCAACTCTGAGTCCTCTGAGTCGCTGTTGAGTCTAAAGAACTGCTTTATGAGATCCATATCCAGCCACTGAGCACATACACAAGCACAGGAAATAATACTCGGTTCCAAGTACAAGCGAAGAACCCGGGGCGGAAAGCCCTGAATGCCAAACGACCTGCGACGGGCGACGGCGACTGACTGCGTATTACACAGGTTGCGCTCCTTCGACGCCTGCATTGCTGCGGCGGGTGGTCGTAGCTAGTCGTAGCAGATCGTGTCACCTCTGTTGCTCGTACCGAAACACTAGAGCCGCGTAATATTCCTGCTGCCGAAGTTTATAAGCCTACGTTCGCGGCCAACGCATATACACAAAGCCAACGCCCAGCGAACCTATCCCCCTCGTTATCTTTCGGCGACCGGCCGCCAGGGGCCGATCGCGCCGACGACCGGAGCAGCGAGCACGCTTCCCTGTGTGACACCAGATAACGGCGCTGACGGCGCGAGACGAGCCGCAAGGCCGCAAGCGGCACACGCGGAGCAAGGAGGTTGCTGGAAGAAGCGGGGGAAGCGAAGAGAGAAACTTCAGTTGCCATAACGACGGAGGAACGCACGCACGTATCGTTCACGTGCGTGCGTCCACCGTGCGTCCCTCCGCTGCGTTGGAAACAAACAACCGCAAGGGCAGACCAATCGCAGGTCGAGGGGAAGTTGGGGAAGTGTTCGCGCGCGTTGCATGCCGGTCGCGCAGCTGCTTCTATCCGCGAACATGGCGTCGGTTGTGATCGTCGATGTTGACGGCGTTCATCTCATCGCGTAAAAGCGCTATCCTTGACTGTGAATTTTCGTTGTGTGTCGCTATGATAACCCAGCACGTACTAGACGGGAAGATCCTCCTACTCGTGCGACGATGTCGTGGCGGCGCTCTCAAGACGGCAGAAACGCCCGTGTCGTCGTGTTTGTTTACTTCGACTACAGTGGTGATTTCTAAGCATTTGTGTCCTCGAACATCGCCCGGATTTCTTATTTGGCGCATTTCATGCGTGTACTCAAGTTCAAGGTATTACCGGCGCGTACCGTATTAAGGATGCGAATTTTCACGCGTTTTCATCTCCGGAGAAAAGTGATTAGGGTTAGCAATCCTGAACGCTCGCTACGTCCGTCCGCAACCCGCGACACCGTTAAAAGGCTGCGCCAGGCAAAAACCGCTCATTTCTTTCAAAATGTGTGACACACTTGAGACAGAACTGTACTAGTCTGGTGAAATAAAGACTCTCCTCAAAGTAAGCTTTATTTTTCATCTAGCATAAAATAAATTCTTTCACAAAGGAAAGTTGTCTCATGGCATGTATTTTGGCCTGAAAAATTGATGTTTTGGTTATAGCGCGGTACCGCTTATAGTGCGGATTTTCGCGACTCCCGCGACATACGTTATATGCGGTCTACACTGTAGTCTATTTCTTGCCTCACACACAAATCAACTGGTCCCTTGTTACTGAATTCGTAGCTTCAACGATTTGATGTTTCAAAACAGTGGCGTAGGCAGGGGGTGAATAGGGAAGTCAAACCTCTCTCCCCCCCTTTGAAATCATCACTTTCTTTTTTTCTTTTCTGTAAAGGAAGACAGCTATTGAATGACTACCAAATTGTTTTAGCCAGCCGGGGGATTGGGGACGACCATGTCTGTGCCTGTGAATTGTACAATACATCGAATACTACATGCGAAGATATAACAAAGCCCCTCTTCCCCCCGGTCATGGAAATGCCAACCCCTCCCCCGAAAATAATTACTGGCTACGCCACTGTTTCAAATCTTGATGAGTAGCAAGCATAGGTGGGACAAACATGCTTTCTTTTATAAATTTTGGTGAATTCACACTTGACAAACTGCGGTACATAAACAAATTTTCCCTTGGTGACGCCATTTTGTTATGTATACACAAGAAACAGCGCCGCTGTGTGGTATATTGAATTAACCTTTTAGGCGGGCTTTTAAAATCTTTGGGCCTTCCTCTATAAAGTGATGTGCGAAATGTGTTTGTCTTTTAGTTTGTATGAACAGAAGTTTAAATTCTGCTCCTTATTTTCCTAACCTTGAAGGCCATATATGGGGGGGTTTAATTCTAACTGGCTCCTGATTGGACCCGGCGGCCTTGTTTGATGCAAAACCCCGTGACGGATCTAAGAAAGTTAAAACAGTATAAGCGACACAGAAAATGTCTGACCCTTTTTTCTTGTATCCCTTCATCTCTATCTCTGGCGAAATTTTGATAGTCATTAATTTGCCCCTAAATTGGTTCCACATGCCAATCGATGCATTTGAACTAGTACCCGAGTTGCGAGTCAAATAATTGTTTTTTGCAAAGTGATTTGAATTTTCAAATTTGGGCAGAGTGGCTCTTCTAGCAGCACTGAAATCGTGGCTGAAGAGAAGATTGCACCAACCAAAACTTAAAGCAAACCAACAAAATACTGCTTTTTTTTAGACTGCTCGTTAGATTTGGGAGTTATGGAACATGCAACGTCACACGACTGGAGGGCGCGGAAAAATTTGAATGGTGGTTTTGACATGACCTCCATTTGCCCTTTTTTAAATGGCTATTTTGAAGTTAGAGATACTAAACAGCATGCTGGGAAGAGTAAAGCCTGATATTTGGAAAATGTTATCTTGGATAACTAAAAAAAAAAAAAAAGATAAACCATCGGTGTGCGGCGTGAACCATAAAAGCCGACCTCGGCATAATGGGCGACGCCCAGAGCTCGAAGAGGTCGGCCATCTGATAACTATCTGAGAAAACCATCGGACACCCCAGACACATCAGACACTTCCGTTGACTCGAATGCGTGATGTCGTCATGGCACCGCAATGGGAGCGACATCTGTGCTCCCACTTTGCTCATCCAATCTGGTCTATGTCACCATCTTGCACAGACAAAACATTTCCTATTGATTACATACTGAGGTATTTGAGAAACCGAGGGGGAAGGTACCCGGGAAGCTGAAATTGTCTGTTTTACTTCATTTGCAACTCCAGCCCGCCGCTCACCCTCTCGCAGACGAGAGAAGAATCAGAGGAGCAGGGACAGGCGTCGGAGACGGTGGCAGGGAGAATCTATCCCCATCTCTTCTTCCATCTCGGAACTACCGCCCCGCCATCTATAGTTTGTTGGAGTTGCAAATAGATAAATCCGGACGACCATGGGAATGTATGTCAGTCACAAATAGATGACCGGAATTCCCAAAAGCATAGGCGAGAATTTTCGTAAAAGGTTTTGCGACTCCTTTAACTTTTTTTGCACCCAAGTCGCAGGATATCTGCGTCATCGTCTTGCATCTTTGGCTGGAGTTCGTCGTAGCACGAGAGAAGGTAACATACCCCGTCAGGCTTGAAATCTTTCATCGGGATGAGCTTCTGTCCTTCGACGTTGGCAAGCAACGTGGCCAGGAGTAGCGTCAACACCTTTGGCGACATGGTCCAAGTGCAGCAGGTGTTGTCAAGAGTGGGGTACGCCAGTTTTCACTGCCAGGGGTGCAGGCTTATTTATGGTATTCGTGTTTGTGCAGGTGTTGTGCGAACCCGCATATTTTATGGCAGCCGTGACTTGAAATGTAGATTGCAGTTTCGCTGACCAAACACTGTGTCGGCCGAGACAAAGTCAATGCGGAAAATTGCTGTATGTGGACACTTGCGCGACTTGTCTTTCCCAAAGACAATGAGTGCTCAGGTGAGTACCTGGCAGTTAATCATTTTATGTAGGTGGTAGTTAATCATATTTACGTGCTAGTTGATCATTGTGTAGGGGGTAGTTAACCACATTCTTTAGGTAGTGGTTAATATATTGTGTAGGTGGTAGGGTCGTGCAAATATACCGAACTTCTGATTATCGAAGCGAATGATGCCATATTTGATTCAAAGTTTCAATTGAATAGGGCTCTTTGGCAACTTCGAATATTTTCGAAGGTTGAAGTGCTGCAAAACACACCTTAATTCAGACTAAAAAAGCAAAAACCGTATATAGCACATGCTCAAAATTAGTTCACCAACCAAGGCTGGAACAAAAGTAGCAAAAAAATAGGAGCATAAGCCTACTCTCTTGAATCTATTGCAGATTGTGTTTCCAATAGCTAACACCAAAGCGTTTGTGCAAATGAGTCTAAAATTTTTTCTCTAAATAAACCGTGCCTTTTGTGGACACGCTTCTTGTTCATTAATTGTGATCTTGACCTTAGTTCACTATTATAGATGATTCACATGTGGACGACTCAGAATATGCACGATTCTTCAGGACAACGTAAGTGTTCAGATTTTTGAGGCATGATTCTATTGAAATAAGAGTAACTGTGCAGGTGAGTTGGTGAGCGATCACAGTAGAGAAACCCTTTTGTTTTTTTTGTTTTGTAGCCTTAAGGGTTCTCTATCATGGCTGCCAAACTATTTGCCTCACTTCAAAATTATTTGATTCGATTCAAAATCATTCTATTCAATTTAACATTATTTAAACAAAGAAACTAGTATTCGCTTTGTATTGTTTCGAAGTGAAAAATCACTATTCGCACATCCCTAGTAGGTGGTAGTTAATCATATTGCAAAAACCCAAGACTGATGGATTTTTCCTCGCCACAGTCTCTGATTTTACATAATATAGGTGTCCTTGCAGGATTTGATTGAAGAAAAGCTTTCTTTTCCATGATTTTTGCACTTTGCAAACTGCTTTGCTAGAGCTAATGTTTGTGAAGATAATGAATTTTGCAGAGCTTAGTTGTTTTGGGATACATGCATCTTTGATGTGCATAACTAATGAAAGGGAATAAACACACCGTTTCAGCAGCCTAAACTGCTGAGCAGCTCGGCGGAAAGAGCCAGCAGCTAGGGTGTTTCGCAAGAATCGTAAAACCGTTCCTATGCCGAGCTCAAGATTGTCTGCTTTCTGCACAGGGGGTACGACCTCGAGGCATCTAGCTTTGAGGTCTACCCACAATCCTTTCAATCAAACACCATCGGAGCTCGGCGTTGTTTTGACGTCGCCGCAACTCCTGCGCAAGAAGCAAACGACTTGCTCTCCGCAAAGCAATCTTGTTTATCATATTCATGTTGTACAGGTGAGTGTGGAAGACGCATGATGATGTCATCAAAGTGCCCAATCCTTCATCGGGTGCCCGATACCTTCCATGATGCGATGGAACATCACGATCAATCTGCGCTGAAACACCAGCTGCTCACTTAATAAAAATGAACTGTCGGCATGTGCACACATAATAGCGGAACCAGGGCTATGAAAACATGGTAGGCATACGTAATTTGGCCCTCTGTATAATAGAGTCATCTACAACCTGTCGGCCTTGGATTCGTTTCGTCGTACCTTGAAACTGGCATCACTAATTATGCTAGGCTTAGAGTATAGGGCGGACTGTCGTAAAATTTAACATCTAAAAATGTGAAGTGAAAATAGTGCATCGAACTTGACCGAAATCTGAAAACATTATTCTCCCTTCCTTGAAAGAATGGAGGCTTTGGTGAGTTGCTTGTTCATGCTTGGGTGAAACGGCGTACATGATTTTCTGTGTAAATCTCGTGCGCTGAATCTCCCTAGTATTTCTTTTTTTTTTTCTTTTTTTTTTTCAGTATAAACAAGCGATAAAAATGTAAATTAAGATAGTTGGTAAGCTAAGGACACATGTGAATGTGGAATTAATTGGAATGTTCTGAAAACTTTTTTCGGAGAAATGTATGATGTTTTCAAATCGCAAGTAAAAAAAAATTATGTTCGCGAGGTGTGACATTTTCTGATCACAGACCTAGAAAGTGTCATAATGAACCATCTGCTTGAAAACAGTAGCACCGGTTGTGAACGATACTTGAGATTTAAGACTTGTGGGTAGCGGTGAAAAGGGTCTACAGTAGAACTGTGTTGTTACAATATACCTATAACAAAATACTCAATTTAAAAATTTTTTAAAATAAACATTGAATGCGTGAGCAGCAATTTACCAAGATCATTCAAAAGTATCCAGATTGTCGAAACCTTAACTTAAAATAAAATCGGGTCTGCATTTGGGATTCCTTTGTCTGGCGTCACATTGTTTATGACCACTTTTCTTACAAAACCATCTTGTAGGACCCCATTTCTTGGATCTTTTTGGTGGGACCTTTTTGTACAAGGGGGCAGAAACACAAGGGTATTATATTACTCTGTGAAACTCTGTATTTTGTCTCTTATAGATTTCTTAGGTTAGAAAAATTAATTAATAAAAATGTGACATGACCCAGAAAGTGATTTTAGTCTTTGGTGTCTCATTCAGCAAAGCATACTATGTTCGGAGGTGATGAGATTGTCTGCCGAACCTCCGTAAACTTCCTAGCAGTTCCTCAAGTCTCCTCTGTGTAGACCATTTCAATAATTGCCTTCTGCACGTTGCCATCTTGGTCTACTGAGCTTTGGAATGCATTCTCCGCATGCACAGTAGCTCTTTTTGGTTGAGGATCAGACGCTGTGCGTGCAATCACAGCCCGATGGCTCAGCATTTTTTTGCCCAGGTGTTAAGAACTGGAAAAGTGCTTGGATCTGAACACAGACAATGATGAAGAAAAAAAAAAAGATATTTATTGTAGAGTTGTATACAACGACGAGGCATGCCACAATAAAAGTACAAAGCGTTTGAAACGCACGTATAGATATATAACACGTCGACAAAAGTGAAACGCCGCAAACGGTCTGCAAAAGGCCGGCGTATGACCATTGCTTGCCCACGTGATCACGTCCAATACCGACAATGACACCAATCGAGAGCACAGCGGTTGACACGAACGGTGCAAGGTCGATCACGACAGTATAACAGTCATCGAGTGCTCGATATATTTTAAACAAGCTCCATCTTTCGTCGGCGTCGGACCCTTTTCAAAACCCCGTCGAGCAACATTGGCGGTCGCCATTTCTTGAACACGGAGTGTGTGACTGCATCCAAGTCCTCGCCGCACCACTCGTCCTCGACGCAAGCCAAGCTGCATTCACGTCGAACACCGACGGAGCCCTCGTGTCCTACAATACGTGCTCAGAATAGATTGTTTGTTTATCTTGGGGGAAAGGGGAAAGCCAGGGAAGGCGAAATATTTAGCAGAGTGTGCTCACAGTGCGTGCCCAAACAATGGCAGACTCTGATGATTGGCACAGCAGCCACCAGACGGCGTGCACTTTTGAAAAGCGTCCGCCGCCGACCCAGTCCTAGGCTTAACAATGCCTATAATCAATGAAAAAAAAAGTGCCAGACACAAACGAGGAACAAGCAGATTTGAAAATGGCAGACGGTTTGAACCGTCTGTGTCGTGTAGAAAACACCGACACGTCTGGGTTTCTACAGTTCGTAGAAATTGTGCAAGGTGCGCGACGTACGACGGTGACGGTGTAAGGCAGTTTGACAGTGTTCAATATCTTTTTTTTTTTATCCGTGGATTTAGTTTACACCACAGTTTGAAGTAACACCCAAAAAACGAACGGGGGGGATGGAAAGAGAGAGAAAAAAAGGGATGCGTCACATGACGCACCAACAACCCAAGGACGACAACAACAAACAACAGCCTTTGTTCTCTTTCAAGTGAGGTCGTTCCTTGGCATCACCACCGCATTATACTCGCCGAGAGCTTAAGAAACGCAGGGCGTGACGACTCCCGAGCGTCTCGTTATCGTATGGCAGCCAATGAGACTGCTGCATTTGCCGATAAGGACGGCAAAGAACCAATCGCAAAGCAAGCCGCACGAACATGGTAGTTCATGACACGCCCTACGCTTCATAAGCTGTCGGTGACTTCAGTAACGACTAGCTTGCCGTCGGCAAACCTAATTTGTTTTGCAAGTTACCGTCGCCAAACACGTTAAATCTAATTTACATGGTCACAGAAAATGAAACATAATTAAAGGCCCAAAATGACGAGAGAACAAAAACGAACGAGATTAGCCGAGTGAACACGTTTAGTCCTATGAATGGCAGTTTGTGGTCACGTGTGTATGTACTGCGAATGCTTCGAAAGCCTGTTTTGCCCGCTTGATTATAAAACGCTTGTGCATCTCTAGCTTCTGGTGTGTGCCCTTGAGCATGCAGCTTGCAGATGGGCCATGAAATAACGTTGTAGTGCAATAAAAAAAAAATTGTGGCGTCGCGCTTTTTTAAGGAATCTTGCACTGTAGCCAAGGGACTTCATTGACATGGCTTGCCAACACTAGAGTCACCAAATAAGTTACGCTTAGAGTATCAGCACTCAAGTCTGCAATCTTCTTTTTTTTGTGGGGGGGGGGGGGCATTGTTGTTATGTCATTTTACGCAAAGCGGCCGCTAGTGGCGATCGCAGATTCTAAAATGCGACTTGCTGAGCTGTGTCAGGAAGCTCGCGAGATATTTTGTTGCCCTGTTACGGACCGTTTCGACGTTCCTGGAGGACGGGAATCCGTTTCCTGCGATTTCAGGCAAAGCCTCGGAATACTGGCGACAATGCTTTTATGCGCCAAGATGGCTGAAGGGTCGTCGTTACTCCGAGAGGAGGCGTAGCTTATGTTGTGGCTCTAGCTGACACGAAAGAGGAGTATACTAAGACTCTGTACTTTAGGCTCGTAGCTTGAAAGCAACTAGCCAAGATAACGAATTGGTGATTGATGATGAAAGCTCCCTCCATTACGGGCATGATGAAGCATACTCTGTGCCGTGGAAATGAATGTACGCACTAAGCTAAGCGACCAGCGGTCTCTATGCACGGCGTCGGCTTTTTTGTGCCAAGTTATCAAGGCTAGGCTAGTTTCAACAGCATTCCAGACCTGCACAACGCGCGAGCACGTGGCTTCACCTTGCAGCTCGTTTGCTTGCGCTCGCACAAGTAGTGTTGATAGTGCTGCGAAAACTATGCTAGACTTGACAACGTCACACAACAGTGTCGACGTAATGCATAGAACGGAGAGTCCATATAAACAGTTCTCTGCAGTGCTACGGAAAGTATGGACGCGAGCGTGTGGTTTAAGAAAGCTTCCTTGCGCGAGTGAGCATTTTGCAGGAAGCGCAAGTTCCTGATTTAAACTCTGGCTAGGTAGCGCAAGCCACCGCCCGAATTAAAGAGTTTTGCCTTAAGTATCCATCCGTCCACCCTGGCGTAGCACCACATTTGACTTCCGAGATGAGCAGGTATGCGACCATGTTGCCGTCATCGACACAGCTATACAATGCCATTTGTAACTCTTTGAAGCATTTCGATACTGAGCAATACTAGAATGCCTAATTGGGAGTTCACACTGAGTATGAGCGACCAAGGATACTGCGTACACGGTGGCACACACAGTTCATACGTAATGGGCACAGTTGGACCTCACTTCCTTGCGCGAGTTTTTTCATTGAACACAACTACGGAAAATAATTAGCGTAATTTTGCCAAAGTTGAGGATCTTGTCTGATACGAACGTCGTTCCCCTTAAATAAATTATGACTAGATATGCGTGAAGCATGACATTCATTGCGCGTACCGAAAGCGCTTCTTCTCAGGATCGCCCTAATTGGTCCACCCATCACCTGCTCGAAATGTGTTAATCCTGGATATGGCTTAACTCTCCTCGTCACATAGGCCGGAGAAAGTTTTCCGACGATCTGGTGTGCGAGTTTCACACCCTGTGATTAGGTACCAAGTTCATTCACTGACAGACCAAGATTCGGTAACAACGAGTGAGTGACGTGATATCCGTGCGATTTCAAAACACTGACGTTTTAAAATGATTTTCAGCTAAAGATTGGGCATTAAATTTGCCCATCCTTTCTAAATGCACAAGTTAGATGGTAAGTTTGACTCAGTTATGAACCAAGTGGCACAACTTGGTGTATTGTTTAGTTGCAGCCTTCCCACCACTCGTAAAAAAAAACCAAAAAAAACATGTCCTCTTGGCTTTTATCGAGTAAAAACAGTGAATTGCAGAATGCTTCTACTGCTTACGCTGAACTTGGTGCGTAATGGCTAGTACCAATTCAACTGGTGTTTTCCCACTCAGTTCAAGAGTGGGGCATTAAGTGTCTTGAAAATTTGCCAAGTCCAGGCCATAAACCCATTCGGCGTCAAAACCAATGCACACTTTAGGTATTGTGGCAGTGTCCAGTGGGTGGCTAAAATTTAACCAATCAACCTCAGACACCAAACAAAACAAAACAAAAAAAGTCTGCTCAAATGGAATTGGAACTTGTCACAGGGTCAGGAAGGTGCAAACAGATTGACAGAGTGCAATAGGAACAGTTCTGGGTGACAAGATGAAACCATTTGATGTACGTAGTTCAGCTCGTTGGCTATGCAGCTCAGTGTTTACATCGTAAACATTGGCTACATTACATTTAAACAGGTTGGGGCATCCTTTTATGGCGAATTCCACTGGTCGGTTTGGATCAGTGACCTAAATCAGCAACGAAGCACGCGATTTGCACAGAGTTGTTGCACCTCTGACTCCACTTGTGGGAAACAACGGCCCATTGCTCGGAGTGGTGCTTTGGTCGGGTGACCCAATTTTGTTTCCCTCACGGGATTGAAACCTGTTGCTCTAAATTAAAACGGGTAATTTGCCGCAGTTGAAGTACACAGTCGGAAGGTTCACTGTTCGATCCCCTGCCCAAGAGTCAACACGTACGTGCAGAATACATATATTAATTTCTGTGTACGGCTCGCATGCAGAGAGCCGAATTGTAAGGATGAAGTCACGTGGGTCGGTGTTTGGGGAACACGACCAAAAAGCACATTGAAATGTTTGACATATTTCAAGGCGACACAGAGAAAAAGAAGACAAGTAATCACACTTACACAAAAAAAAAAAAAAAAATAAACAAACATAGCTTGGAGTTTTACGATAATTTACCTATTTCAGCATCGTCACGGCACAACCTTGTTGTTGCTGAGCGCTTATGTGCTTGCTACAGATTGAAATCTTACTTTACACATCATCATAGAAGACAGTATGCATTTTGCCGGCTTTTAGTATTTTTTTTTGTCATGTTATAAGCATACATATTTTTCTAAGACTGTTTCACAAGCAATGATCTGAGAAAAGCTTGCCACTACAACTTTATAGCTGGCAAAAATACTGGTGAATGGGCAACATATGTTTGTGCAGTGGTACCCTTGAAGCTGCCCAGAAACTCCACACAAAGATAAAATCGCCGGAACTCCGAAAGTGCCCTTCCCTTCGCTGTCACGCACGTCATGGCTACGGCCATGCGTTCCGTTTTTTAATGCCGTTATCTACAATACTCCAAAGAATGCCAGTCGTGCTCTTCGCTGCAGCAATCAAAGAAGCTCAACAAAGGCCCTCATTGCAACTCAATTGCGGAAAGAAGTGACAAGCGGCCATGCTGTAATGTGTGGGACCAAAGGTGTAGCCTTGGTCAGCCTTCCACGATCGACCGAACACTATATTGTGACTTCTTTAGTTGGATCAATTCAGCCTTAATTAACTAAGGGGAATGCCAGACTGTCTACTTTGACGGTGTTGGTTTAAGAGCGCGATGAGTGGCTTCCACCGTGTTTTTTTGCATACACCCTCAAACTTTTCCTTAGCAACTGATCGTTTTGGTCATGACGTCACAGGCAGGGACCACAAGAGGGCGCCGCCAAAACATCTTGTCGTCATATTATATCTTCCCACGAGCGACAGTGTGGGAGAAAATCGTTTTGCAGGCTTGTCACATCCACCTGTTGGGCACATTTCTGTTCTGTGCCAATGCCAGCCCGGCGCTGATGAGACAATAGCTACATGGTATGGACAACTTTTGACAGTGAAAGAAAACAGTATCTCTTTTTTTCTTGTCACAACCCATTACGAATTCTTCAGATGAAATGGGAAGCTTACAGACGTTGAAATGACGTTGAGTCATTTCAGCTTTCCATCATAAAGAAAGCGAAATGTGTTGTGCAACTTCCTGCAAGTTTCTCTGTGAGGTTTGACTCTGTAAACTAATGTTTACCTTGAAAGACAATAAAAAGGGGAAAGTGATGCTAAAAGAAGTCCAGGAAAGATAAAAATGTGGCTCATAAAGCATAGGCGCTCGAGTAGTTGTTGCATAAGTTCTGTAAAATAAATTACTAAGTCTCAAGTGTCTGATGCACTTTATCTGTAGCTCTGGGTTTTACATACTTTTATTTTGAGTAGCACCTCAATTTGACAATCGCCTACTTCTAGAAAGCAAGTGCCAGCTCTGTTGCTTTTCTTCCATCAAAATTAGGCATATAATAATTGTATAAATAACCTTCATAGCTTACCACTAGTTCAGTGTTACAATACATTAGATTTCCTTTACTTCTGCACAGTGCTAGAGAACAAAAAACAACGGCATAGTGTTTATGCACACATTCAACAAGTCTCCAGTCTGGGCACACGACGGTAGGCAGACTGACAAACTGAATATTTTTTGCCCTTCTCTGATTATTACATAAATATCCTCCTGGAAAAAGGTTAACTTGAATATAGGCTGAAGAATCTTGCTGTGTATATGCACTTTGACAACATATTTAACTGGCTTCTTCGGTGTGAGTGCAGTGTTCGTTTACCAAACAAAAAACTGGGTCGGTTGACTGATTTGTAATGCAATAGCGGTACTCTTCATTTTTGGCACAAAGATAAACAACGCGCTGTTTTTAAGAATGTCAGCCTGTCCAATGTTTGCAACTTCCTAGCTAGGAGTACTGGCCACGATGGACCAAATATGGCCTCCATCGCACAAAGTTGCCTGCACGCCCCCGCCCCCGATGACTATGGTACTTTCAGAGTTCCAGTGACTATGCACAAAGCGTGCTTGTAGCATGACATTTTGCTGGGTAGCTCAATCTCATCCGGACTTATTGCATAGTCTTGTTTCTCCTTTATGTTTGTACAGAAAACTGCTTCATCTAATTTTTTGTCGTCATTTTCTGGCACTGCTTTTAGAAACAATCTTCCTAATGTCACACATCAACTGTGATAACTAAATGTTACAAACAAGGTAAAAAAAGATAATCAACTCTGCTTGCATAGGACTGCTGATAACAAGAAAAAGATAAGAACACACCATGTGCTGTCACCCAGTTTTTGTCAAAGGATAGCTCAATTGATAAGAATAAGAAAACATAAGTATAATTCATTCAATTTTAAGAAGGGAAGTTTCTGAATACCATGAAATGTCAGGATTAATTGAAGATAGTAAGATGTTTAGTGGCAACATTCAAAATGTCTATCTTGAACAGATTTCTTCATCATTATCTAAAATATGACAAACATTTTGGTAGTTAATTCATACTACGTTCCAAATAAACTACTATATGGTCGACTAAGAGGAACCCCAATTAAACTGGGGCAGCATTTTGGTATCCCTCGAATTTTACAGTATTCAATTAGTGTCACACATTTTATATGCTCTTGTCTTCTTTTGTAAGGTTAACAAAGGCACTTTAATGAATTTCATAAAAAAGCTAACGTCCCATATGCACTGTTCTTGATGCACTATGGCCTCTGTCGCTGCTGCACAAAGAAACAACAAATTGATCATCCCATGCACAAACAGCCCATTTTAGAACACTCATATTAACGGCCAGTTTTTATGGTTTTTGGTTTGGATAACGGTGTGACACACACAATTGATCCTAGGTCTGTAGCCATACTGCCCCAGCGAAATTTCTAATACTCAACAAAGAAAAGTGCCACATCTTGAGCCAAACTAAGCATACAGAAACCCCTCGAAGCAATCCTTTGGGGTCATATAAAAGAAACATGGAGCTTTGATTTGCCCTGAGCAATGGGACGTTTGAAGGTGTCCAATATGTAATATCTTCAGTCCATATTCCGGTTTCAGATACTGGCCTACCCCAGGGGAAGGGGAGCCAATCCATGGGGTAAAAACTAAATTGAACAAGGAGAAGTGCTGGCTGGAAGCAGCAGTCGAGAACACCGATAGACGCGGGTGCTTCACGTGCAAGCGTCCCGTTCAAGACGAAGGTTGGCGTCGAACGACGCAGAAGCATCCCGTCCTGAGGCAGCGAGTGACAGCCGCCCGAATTCGAGAGTACCAGGGTCCAGCTGCTTTTTTCAGAGCTGAATTTTCTGTAATCCGAGGTTGTTTTGTGTGAAGTTAACAAGGCATGAGAAAGGTTCGTCATTGTTCTGATACAGATCAATGAAAACTTCTTTGAGCCAGAGATGTGACAGAGAGCAGCGTCTCTGCCTTCTCAGTCACCGATACAAGACAGTGATCTGAACACTCAAATGGTCTTTGAAAGTTTTGAATGCGAGTAGACACTATAGTAGGCGACAGGTTAAGAGTGAGTTGGGAGCTCCTCCTACCTCTTTCCACTTCAGCAGAGTGAACGCTGGAGAAGAGGCGACCCCCTCACTCACTCTGCTGAAGTAAAAAGAGGTGGGAGGAGCTTCCACTTCACTCTTAACCTGTCGCCTACTAGAGAGACAAGCGGAAAACACGACAAACATAAAAAGATCCCAACAGTGTAAAACCAAATGTGCTTTCTTGCTCCTTGTCATGGTTCTAGAATTATGGCCCACCATCAATGTTGCTTTCATATAGTTATGAACTATATTATGCAGTATAAAACTAAGAGTGTTATGCAAACCTGTAAGCTTGTGTTTGTGATCTTTGTAAAAAAAAAAAAAAAAGAAAACAGTGATGTACTCTTAGAACTTTTGGCATAGTTGTGCAATAACGGAACATCTATGTTACTTTATACAGTTGAAAGCCCATACTGATGTATAGTGCTGCAAAGCTGATAATGTAGAGCAACATTTGGCCATTGAAATAGCTGTCCATTATTGTGCAAGAAGGAGACTGAAGGGTTCATTAGGTACCTAACAGACACAACAGGGATACGAGGGCATAGACTGATTGACAGAAAAATTAAACTGACCAACAGCAGGAACATTACAATTTGAGATGGGGGGAGGGGGAGAAGATCCTGGCTACCTGACCAATTGTTACGTGCTGCAGGAGCAAGAATTCTTGTAAGCCCTCAGATTGAAAGCCAATATTTTGCTACAAAGTTCAAAGAAACGCTCGGTGCTTTTTTGAGGCTCTATTTCATGTCTTACTTGGAGTAGGTAGTGTCATCAACAAGCTAAAAATGTGGATTGTTCTAATGTTATTGGTCCACTGAGAATGTTTGCACATTACGATCTAAAAGAAGCACAGCTTCCCCCCCACATACCTGAAATAAGTTCTTCCGCCCTGCCAGGAGCCCTCTGCAGGAGACAGAAAAAAAAAATTGTAAGTCATCATTGAGACAGACAACTGCGACTAATGACGCAGAACCACTGTTTCGGAAGACAATACTATTAGAGATAACTAGGCTTGAATGTAAACATTCAACAAAATTTAGTCTATAGAAACTAGAAATAAAGGAAGAGTTGCAAGACCAATTAAGTCGGCCTTGAAATGCTGAGTCCGTAAAATTTTAGGGCTGGGCTGACGGTGTTCCTTAATTTATATCGCAGATAATGATGGGAAAACAGCACAGCATCAGAGACTGTGTATGTGTTCTTTTTATGTGTCTCTTAATTTCTCTTTCCTTTGGCCTCAGGTTAAGAGGTGCACTAAACCACCTTCTGCAATAGTCTATTTATGGTCATAACCCAATCAATGGGCTCTAAGCATCCTATAAAGCCGCACATTACATTAAAGTGTGGCCGATTTCTTTATTAAAATCGGTTTCAAGGATGGATTGCCTCGGAACAATTGCAGACACCAGGGGGCACCATCGGACGAGAAGGACTTCACCTTACAACAGATCGCAGACAACACTACGAGCCATCGAAGCCAGTCTAATGCCGTGCGATTGCCACATGAGGTTCAAGAGAGAATTCACAATAATTTTCAGCACATAGTCATGTGATATGTTTGCAGCCCCAAATTGGCTGGGATGGCTCGCAGCATTCGCTGTTGTCGCTCATAATTTGAAACGAAGTACATGTAGAAAACAATCTGTTACATGGTCTAGGGAAGCAATACTGGAGTTGTGATGAAGTCACAACTCTGGCACAATTAAGATTGCAAAACGAAAATTAGATAATGTTGATTGACATCTAAATTTCCTGGAGATTTTGTGCATGTGACTACTATCTGCTCCAAGCAGACTCACCTGTACCTAATTGGAAAATGTTACTGGAGCCACATATTATATGTACCGGAGGAAGTTTTGGGTAATAACCGATTTACGAGATATCTCCTTCTAAAGTCCTCATTGTGGGTGGAACCCATAAAACGGCTGTCCTTACCTCTTGAGCAAGTAGTGCAGCTTGTTCGAGGATGCCCTTGATGTATGCGACTGCAAAATCCCGCAGTTCAGGATCGTTCTTCAGGTCGGCTATCTGGAAAACACAAGGTCAGCACAATTGAAATGATTCTACTTACTATTCGTGGTGCCCGATTTTGGAAACGAAAGTTCTTCCAGCAAGAAGACGATAGAATAGATTTATGAATGCCTTCCTGACAGGGTGCCAAATCATTAAACTGCTAAGTTAGTCATTTGAAGTAGCATTCTTCTTTACTAGCAAGGTCTCTTTTCTGAATAACCAACTCACAGTTACTGCTTTTGATTTCTTCAATTAAGCATGCTGAAGGCTATAGAAAAAAACTCGCGGAGCCCTAAAGTTTTTCATGAAATGCTTTTAAAGTTTTAAGAACAGATGGAGTATGTTGCTCAAGACATGATTAGTGATTAACAGAAAAAATTCTCAATTTCTTGTCGCGTCAATTGTGAATGAAGTGCGGTCACAGCTAAACTGAGTGGTGTTCATCTGATGTTACGTGGCGACATGACATCACATGACACTACATTCCTAAAAATATTTACTAGAGCGCTAAATATAGCTTTAAAAAATTGTGACTTTATACGACGTCACAATCACAAACTTTGATTCCCCGAAAAAAAAAAAGAAAATAAGAAAGCATAGGGAGAAGACGTTTGTGGACTCGGTCCGTATCTTGTGAACGAACGTTTTAGCAAATGGCTGTCATTTGAGCAAATCGACGTTGTAGCAAATGACCTATCATTGGGGCACATGTCAATTTCTACCGGCCCTTCTTCAATTACGCTGCTTCGCGGTGACAGTATGCGATGGCTCATTACAAAAACACTACTCGGCCAACCCGTACACGCCGGTTCGCGGTGGCCGACCATTTGTGGGCGGGACTTTGTTCGCTAGAACGTTTGCCCAAAGTGCCACCCCCTTGGGGATGGCCAATCGCAGTGTGGAGTTCGGCAATCTCGCCCACTTTGTATCTCCATTCTCCTTGCATATCTCTTCTTTCTGCTAATACAAAAATGGTTAATTATTTTTCTATTTAGGGATAATTGCAATATCCCACTTCCTGCTTCAGTGCGCCAAATAAGATGAGGCGGGAGCACTTCTCAGCCTTCGGTCGATTAATCGGGTTGCTTTTAAACAGTGCGAGATGCACATAAGGCGACGAGGAACTTTCAGAAAGGCACGTTTGATGCTCACATCTCGACAGTCGTTTCCCTGCTTTCTGCGTGGGAGGACGTCCAGGCTCGCTTCACTGGCGCTTTCGCTGTCCTCCGAAGAGTGGTCGTCCTGCAGAATCACCTTCTTCTTCTTGAAGTTGGGCTCCGGCGCGATGTATGTCACCTCCTCCTCTGGGCTCGGCGTCCGAGAGCCCACCAGGTCGATCTGGATCTCGGGCGGCGTCTGCACGCCACACACAAAAGAAAATTAGTTCTGTAGGGCGTTTCAAAGTGCAATTCAATTGTTAAAAAAAAATGGTATGTATAAATTATTTAAATGGATGAGGCATGCCTTGGCAGGTCCCGCGCTGAGGTCGGGTATCCTCCGCGGGGGCGGCATGTCCTCCTCCTCTTCCTCCTCCTCCTCGATGCAGGACTGCTGCCTCTGGGCGACCTCCTTGGCTCTGTAGATGAGGTCGCTCACAAACTGGCTGGCCACCTCCCGTATTTCGGAGCTGTCGCTGTTCACGTGCTTGCGGTGCAGCGGCTGAGATTCTCCCTGGGTAAACGCAGTAAGCATATATATACAACTGTTCATCGAGTTACATCCAGTTGAGGAGAAGAAACGGAAAAGAGCAGCCCACAGGAGCTCGCAGAACAACTGGAGCTTGAACGAATAACACGGGTTGTCGTGTCCCAGCATACACAGGTTGTTGGTCTTATGACAAAAGAATGTTACTATCAAACAATGCCTAAACGTGAGGAACAGAATGCTTTAAAACAAACTCTCTTTCTTCTTCAGTGACAACTGTGACCGTTGGCCAACCCAACCAGACGGACTTTTGTGAAATATGCTTACGTTGAAGTACTGTTATATGCATGCCTGGCTGCGATTTTGATGTGCTGTGTTGTATTTGTGTCAACCACAAAATTGTCTAATGATGGTATAATTTGTCAAAGACCTATTTCCCCAAGTAAAAAGAAAGACAGAAGTACCGGTATGTTCTTTGCCATTAGAAAAGGAAGCTGCAGGCAGAACTAATATAGAGAAATTGATGTGTACATAACGGAGCTTGATTTCATGTAGGCTGTATGTAGCCTGCGCGGAGTATATACCTGTCACCGAATAATGTTTCACTCGACGAAGTGCTCACAATTTAGGTCTCTTCACTTTCACAAGACGAGGAAAAATTGTGATGCCATTGCGATATGATTATAAATTAACACAAGTGAAACAAATATGTTTATTGAATTCAGAAGATACACACAGAGCTATGTGTGGCGTGGCATGCACAGCTCCTCTGCTAGCCACAGAGAAGCTGCTTATGCCATGCCATATATCCAGATAGTGCTACTGCGCTGGTGTACCTACGGCATAGCGGTATAGTTATGACTAGTTATTTTGGTAGAGCACATAAAAGGAAGATAGCAGCTAATTTGATGACAAATGTTAAAGACATGATTAACTTCACTTATTCCGGAATTGATTACACAACGTCATCATCATCATCATTTATTAAACCTTGAAGGCCATTGCTGGCATTACACAAGGTGGTAGTAACTGCTGAAGAAACATTATATAAATGAATAAATATAGGGAGTATTTTGACGGTAGGCGTTAAAGAAGCAACTACCTTTCTGCAGACTGCGAGCTATAACATAGTGCGATGAGCTGTTCACCAATGTAAAGACACCCAGGAAGACTAAGAAGAATGTCTTCGGTACCTGAGCGAAGTGTCCGTTGGGTTGTTCGTCTGGCTCTTTTGACACGTCTTCATCTGGGAATCAGAAAACAAAGACCATGAAATCAACTGTCGATTAAGAACTATACACCTTTTGATAAATAGATGACATTTTAAAGAATGAAAAGACACAATCACTGACAAGTTGGTCTTCCATTAACTGCAATAAAAGTTATTTTAGGCTGTTTTTTTTAATAAAAAGGGGTGACAATTGCATGGATACCACATTCACTGCAAGGGCATAGCCAGAGAGGGGGGAAAGGGGGGGGGGGTGTTCATGTCCTTCCCCACCCCTTCCTTCTAAACGATGTAGGGAAGGAGGGAGGGGAGGTTGACGCACATGCATAGTGTAGCCCCCCCCTCGCCCCCTTTTCCTGTCCAGGTCACGGAGGTCCCAACAATTAATCTTATTATCCCCCTCCCCTCCCCCCGCGCGAAAAAAAAAATTGAAGGAAGAAGAAAAGCTTTGGTTACACCATTGCTTCATTGCGTGTTTATCGGGTTCGGCAGATCGATAGGGCAGTAATCGGCGCAAATCGTCGGTTAAATTACTAAAATATGTTCATTAACTTATAATTTAATGAAAATATGGATTATGTTTAAGTTGCAGTTATACAATCAATTTTGAAGCAAAACTATGTTATACAATTTTAGAAGAAACGGCAGGCTGTGAGGTAGTTTTTGATAAGGGGCGTGGGTAACCGTTTGATTCTGAAACTGCTCAGAAAAAAGCACCCGCCTGTAGTGATGTGCACGACCGGATTGAAATCTAATTGTGACCATAAGATCCATAAGATCGTCATTAAAAAAAGTAAATTACCATATTTTAGAAACTAATCAGGTCGGTTATCACCTTGTAAAAAAAAAAAAAAAAAATTGGAGTAAAAGACAAAATACCCTCAATTTTAGACCCTCAAAATACCCCCAATTTTAGAACTAAAAAAATAATACATAAAACTCATTATACGGTAATGCACCTACATGCGGTCACAAACTTTGCACAAAAAGAAACAAAAAAAAAAAAAAAAAACGCGTACGCTCTGCCGTACGCGCCTCCAAACCGAAACCAAAACTATACTCCACAAAAGCCAATACGAAACTACGCCGCCGAGACAAACCAATGCCGACTCCACACGAGCGGCCATTTTGTTTTTCCTCCTTTTCGGCTTCTGCCACGGCGCGGAGGGAGGCAGCGAAATTTTCGATGACGCGCAGCAAGGCGGTTCCGGACCGCTGGCTCGATTACCACACGGTGGGTGGCATCATACCAGGCACACGCTTCATCTCCTTCAAGGTACCCCTCCAAGAATCCATCTGCAGCAGGCTTCCCACCGAAGCCCGCTTCACGCCGAGCGACCTCCTCCAGCGAGTCTACGGGCTAGGCCTAATCATCGACCTAACGTGCACGAACCGCTACTACGACCGCGATTTTATCCTACGGAACGGCATCTACCACGCCAAAATCGTTTGCGCGGGGCAGCAGATACCGCACGCCGGCGTCGTGGGTGAGTTTTTCGAAACCGTCGACCGCTTCCTGATGGATCCCCGCAATAACGGCAAGCTTATCGGCGTTCATTGCACCCACGGTGTCAACAGGACCGGATATCTCGTGTGCCGATACATGATCGAAAAGCTTGGTGTGCCGCCCGACGATGCCATCAGGGAGTTTGAATGTGCGCGTGGACACCGCTTCGATAGGGATGAATACGTTCGAGATCTGCGAGTGCCCAGAAATTTGCCCTGGACGAGTCATACGGAGCAGAGCGCGGGTTACGCTTACGGCACGCATTGGACCGACGCTGGCCAGAACCTGACGCCCCCCGTAGCACCGCTTACGGCGATGCCAGCCACGTACGAAGCTCCCCTGCCACCTCTACAACCCATACCGCCCATTTATGGGTCGGCGGTAGACTACAGATACTGGCAAGGATGTACCCCGAAATTGGAATGAATTTGTAAAGAAATGACGCTATGAACTATTTCTGTTTTATCGCTAAAAAATCTAGGTGACGCTGAAATAAAAGATACTTGTGTTTGCTTGTCACGGAGGTGCGGGCATTCGTCAGCACTGTTTTTGGAAATATCAGCTGATTCGCTGCCATATTTGTTGTCAAAATAAAGAGGCAATATTTTGACGTCCGTGACGTCGCTTTTTAGAGGACAGGAAAATGTTTTCACGTTTTATGACAAATTGGTTGTTTCTTGTGACGTCTCCAATGAAGATGGTTGTTTCCACGTCTCAATGAAATCTAATGTTTCTTTATATTAACATTCCCCAAGGGGTGGACATTTATTACTTCGAGGGGAGTGTGAAGTCCCCTGTCAAACTAGAAAACCGCACATGTTTCGACCGCGAACCTACACATCTTTTTTTAAAAAAATCTGGAAATCTTGTCTAGAAATAATACCCATGAAAAGGAACGGTTTTATTAGATTCATTAACATTTCACGTACTTGTATTAAGAAAGGGAAAGCCCCGATAAGATAGGTTAAAGTCAATCGTAAGGCAACATGCCAAGTTAAACGCCGACTACAGTGCTTGTTTGAATAAAACCTTACGTTTCCTGTACTGTCATTCATAATTAAAGATCGAGCTATAATTATAGTGATTTGATTGATTGTGTTTAGTTCGTGAGTTTTCTGCCCATTGCATAATTTTGGGACCATCGAGTCAACTGCGACACCCTAATGCATCCTCATGCGTCTTGCATCTCACGTGGAAGAACCATCGCCAATGTTTGCTTGGAGAGTGACAGGTTAAGAGTTCGGGGGAAGCTCCTCCCACCTCTTTCCACTTCAGCAGAGCGAACGCCGGAGAGGAGGTCGCCTCCTCCCCAGCATCTGCTCTGCTAAGGTGGAAGGAGGTGGGAGGAGCTTCCTTTGAACTCAACCTGTCACCAACTATAGATCATCATGACGTCATAGAATGATCCCTACGAACTTCCAGACTTGGTTTCCGCAAAGATGTATGTATAAATTCTTTAGAATTTCTCGCGACGCACTGACGTCACGTGGTGGCGTTACGCGCTGTGACGTCATGATGTCTTGCGAAGTCATGTCACGTATGACGTGACTTATGTATTTTTACAAAAACGCCCGGACACGTTTTGTGCAAAACCATGGTGCCCGTGGAGAGGCTAGGCCATCCGGACCACAGTGCCGAAACGAAATTTTTATCCGTTCGGTTCGGGTTCACGGCTTACGGTTCAGTTCTGGGGAGCAGGAATAACGGTTCAAACCGGTTAAACGGTTTAGCGGTTCAAACCGGTCAAATTGACAATGTATTTTCCGCATTGTTTTGGCAATACTCGCTATTTCCGCGGTGAAACGAGTAACTATATTGTTTTTTATCGTTCGTACAAAGCAATCTTTATTTTCAAATACCAAAAATATGAATTTGCTTTATTTAATTTTGAGGCAATAGTAAAATAAAATCTATATTGACATACAAAACGCCGTGTTCATACGACTCGACATCCATTTGCTTATCTCGGTCACACGTATTTCACCTGAATCGAATGGTTGTCACAATGTGTTTTATAGCCCAGGCCGCAAAAATACCCGTGATTGGTCAACTTTGCATCGCAGTATTAAAAGTTGAATCGTATTTGTGCTCTTGAACTAAGGAATTAATTAGGGCGCATAAAATCATGGAATGGGCGCCTCATCGCCATGTATTCCGTGAAATATAGTTTACGAAATCTGTTTCACAGGATAGTATATGCTGAAGACGAAACTGAGCTAAAGGTAAGAATATTTTCAAAATGTCACCAAAGTTTTAGGACAAGCCCTTTCAGTCTACATTTGACGGAGACACTGAGCGACTATCGACAGCAGAGTGGTGCAGGCGAAGAGTCACGCAGAAAATACTTCGATACACGGTGGCACAAAAAGAAATATAGATGTAATGATATTCATAATTGCAAATAAATAGCGCGAATGACAGCCAAAGGTTCTTACATAAATCAGATCCGGGCATAGGCTTGCATGAGCTCGAAACTTCGCGAAATACTGTCTCGGGAGGCTATGTTATATTCGGTTTTACGTGCACTTGTTTCTGGGGATTTACGTTATAACTTTGTCCTTCATCACTCATGCGCTCTGGCATTTTATTAGGCTGCCGCATATGATCGCGAGACTGCTATGAACAGGGTGGTTTTGTTTTTTCTTTCCACACAAATTTCGTCATTAACACGTGACTATCCGGCGTCGAACGAGAAATGTCCTTCCGGCGGGCATCACGCGTTTGGTTTCCGTATCGAGATTTACAGGACAATATTTGTCAATGAAGCTTAACTCCAACTGCGTGCACGATCCATGATTTTTAAAACTGGGCTGGCCTTCAACATTCATCACCTCCACTTCTTCAATATAAACATGCACCCTAAAACGTATAATTGAACAAGTAATTAGCGAATTTTCGTTAATTTCTTGTTTATAAGATGCATTCTCTCTTGAACATAATGTCTGCCTGGCCGTATAACTTACGTAAACCGCATATGTAAGGCTTTCACTTAAAAACACACACACAAAAACGTATTTTATTTTAAAAGATTTGTATCTTTACTGCAGAACTTTACAATTTCGGCATATGCTTTTGCTACCGCTACGAACATTGCATTTCACCAGGAAACTCAACGACATGTTTTGCTCGTGACATTACTGCACTATATACTGGTGGTCATTGCGATTCGTTCTTGCTGAGAAAATCAAATCCGGTGATGCCAAATGCACACAGCTGAAGATTCATGCTCCGTGCCAAGCATGTATTTGAGAGACAAAAAATTATTCTTTGCTTGGTGCAGCGTCCTGAGAAACGGCGAAACCGTCTGGTACCAAGAAAACGCGATTTCTCAAAAGAGTCTTTTTTGCAAACCAAGTAGTTGCCGGAGTCACGCTTTCTGTGCTGAACATGCGGGGCAGTATTCATACGGGGGAGAAATATGCGCAGGGATGTGCGTGACGTTCACAGCGCGATATCCTCCTCAGCTTTTTCATTTACTCCGACGATGTGCCGGAGGGAGGGATATGTGAGCGTACCAAGTCCAATTGAGTGGTTTCCACACTTGACACCACAGCGGACTAGGGTGCCTTCATGTCCCGCTGAACATGAAGGCACTCCACAGTAGACGAATTTAGCGAGCTCTTTATTTGACACCAGAAAGTTTAACGACAATACATTTTTGGAAAGCAAACTGATCCACCGCCAAACCAGGATTGTCTGTGCGACCCGAGCGTCCCTTCCCCACCAATCGCCTAACTGACGTCATGACGTTTTCGACGTGTGATGCGACGAGCACCGGGAAGAAATCCTCGAGATCGCTCCCTCATGTGAATACCGCTTTATAACACAGTATGCTTTTAAGGGGCTAAAAATTATTTATTGACAAATTACCTCTCTCTTCCCCCCCCCCCCCCCCCTCCCTCTTTCGGTTTTTTTTTTTTTTTTTTTTTTTTTTTTTTTTAATGTTTAATTATTAATTGTTTTATGGAGCGGAGCCGGCGCCGTCTGTAACCGCGAAAAACAGCACCTAAAAAACCCGTAACGGCGAAAAACGGCACCTAAATTGGCTGCGACGCGTCATATCAGATGTTTCGTCAAGGAAGACGGCGCGGCCGCTCGAGTTCAAAGCGGACGCGCCTCGGAAATAAAACGCAGGGAAAAGCGCAGCAACGCAGATGCCTCGACACGGAAGCCGACGTAATACGCCGCGCCTGCGCAGTGGGGCCCCTGTTATGTCACCGCCGGAAAGCCGTGTGCGAAAGGAAGACTTGGCACGCTGCTTGTAGGATTGCGCTGCGCGTACACATGCAAGCAGTCTTAATTGAAGGGGCGGTGCAACAATTTCCGGAGATTGGCCAATTAACGATGGAAATTAATTTGTGTCAACGGTGGAACGAAGAACAGAAAACCGTATTTTCTAACAAGCGCTAATTTTTATTTACAAAAAAAAAAATCGAATTGAGTTAGCCTTATTCGACATTTAGTTTCTTCAGTTATCATAGCCTCATCAATTGCCATTCGTGACAATATAATCACCACGTGTCCTCGTACAGTACTGAGTTCCGCACTTCTATCGAGGATTCGGAGCTCCAACATCGACAGACCCGGTAAAATCGTGCCGGCAAGCGCGGTGGAGGGCTGCAGCAAGCAACGAGCCGTCGACGCGTAAACGGCTGCAGGGGAAGCGGATATCAAGGTAAGCCCGCAGCCGATTGGCCAGTCGCTTCGCTTTTCCATTGGCCACCCAAGCCAGGACCAGGGACGTCATGAAGGAGGGTATTCTTCAGTTTTGCCTATAACTTTAAAAATAAAAGAAACGTTTCACTAAGCAGTGTTGGGAAGTACATTGTACTTCCCAACAAGCAGGTTTAGGCAACGTGTACTTCAAGTACATTCTCTGAGTACTTTACTTACTTAAAGTCTTTGCTTTTTCCTGGTATTTTCTGAGGAAAGTACAATTTCCGACCTCAAGGTATATTCCCCAAATTTGGTTTTGTTAAATTTGTATCATGAAATGATGCTTTGTGAACTCCGAAGAAATACTGGGTGGAATATTCTACTCTCATCAAAGACGTGAGCAGACGATGCATCACTCCGGTTGTTCTGGGGGCGGCTTCCCCGTAGCTTTTTTAACTCTCGCTACTTCTCGGTCGGTCAGCGCGAGCGAGGAGGTTTGAATTATTTGGAGAGCAAAATGAATCAATCTAGCACCTGAAACTATGGTGCGGAACAATTAAACTTTCAAGTCAAAGAAAAAGACGACAGAAGAGAACGTCCCAATGTTTTGAGACATTCTCTTTTTTCTTTTCCTTCGGCTTGAAAGTTCCTTAATTTTTTCGCACCTCAATCTCAGGTGTCACATTATGGTTAATTATCACCAGCTTACTTTCACACTCACTTTTTTTTTTTTTTCATTAAAGAGAGGACATTTCTTTCTGAGAGGATTGCTTGCTGGAGCAACGGGGCTGACGTCATGGCGCAACAATCGAGTGCAACCGGCGCCAAATTCAGAAGAGGGACTTCTGAATTTGGCTCCATTCATGAAAATGACTACTCTGTGGCCACTTGACTTTATCAAATATTCGCCGCTGTTTCTGAAAATAGGTCATGCACCCCTGATTACCCCTGGGCAATCAGTTCAAAATCACTGTATATAGGGGAATTA